AAAAAAAAAAAAAATAGTAACTCCCAAATCCTCCCTCCCTATATTTATTTATTTATTTTATTTTTTGTTTTTATTTTTGAGTTGGAGTCTCACTCCATCGTCCAAACTGGAGTGCAATGCCTGCTCCCGGCCACCACAGCCTCGACCTACTGGGCTCCGGCGATCCTTCTGTCTCAGCCTTCCAAGTTGCTGGAACTACAGGCGTGCGCTACCATGCCCAGCTAATTTTTCGATTTTTATTGTAGAGATGAGGTCTCACGAAGTTGCCCAGGCGGGTCTTGAACCCGCGGGCTCAGGCAATCCACTCACCTTAGCCTCCCAAAGTGTGGGATTACAGGCTGAACCACCGAGCCCTGCTGGGAGTTACTATTTAATGGGTACAGTTTCAGTTTGGGATGATGAAAAAGTTCTGGAGAGGAATAGAAGTAATGTTTGCACAACAGCGTGACTATACTTAATGTCATAAAAATGACACTTAAAAATGGTAAATTGTATGTTATGCATATTTTACCTGAGTAGCTGGTACTACAAGTGCCCATTACCATGTCCAGCTAATTTTAAAAATGTAGGCATTTTGGACCAAATGCTTCCATAGCAGCTGTACCACTTTTTAAAAATTTAAATTGGACTCTCCATCACCCAGGCTGAAATGCAGTGGCACCCTCATGGCCACTCCAGCATCAACCTGCTGGGTTCAGGTGGTCCTTCCGCCTCAACCTTCCAAGTAGCCGTAACTACAGGTGTATGCTACCACACCTGGCTAATTTATTTTTTTATTTATTGTAGAGACTAGATCTTACCAAGTTGCCTAGGCTGGTTTTGAACCCCTGGGCTCAGGCAGTCTTCTCGCTTTGGCCTCTCAAAGTGCTAGGATTACAGGCTTGAGCGACCACACCTGGCCAGACGTACCATTTTACATTCCCGCCAACAATGCATGAGGACTCCTATTTCTTCAAATCCTCAAAAAAAAAAAACACTTGTCATCTTAAAAATTTTTTGTTTGTAATAGCCATCCTAGTGGGTGTGAAGTGGTATCTCATTGTGGTTTTGGTTTTCATTTCCCTTATGACTGATATTGAACATCTTTTCATGTGCTTATTTGTGCTTATTTTCTAAAAATATAATTTCTACCTTTTCATTTGTATAGCAAAAATATGTTGGCTATAACTTGACTTGGCACCCACAACTTTCCCCATTAATGTTTTTTTAAATAAATATGCTGATTTTTTTTCTTTTTTTCTTTTTAAAGATGGCTCTGAGTAAATCAATGCATGCAAGAAATAGATACAAGGACAAACCTCCTGACTTTGCATATCTGGCATCCAAATATCCAGATTTTAAGCAGCATGTTCAGATAAATCTGAATGGAAGAGTGAGGTAGGTAACAGATGAAAAATTATTGATACTGTATCATTTTAGTGTGACCTGAATGAACTAATGTAGTAAAAGCCTTATGGACTGACAGAAGACCTGAATGCTCTCTGGGCGTGGTGGCTCATACCTGTAATCCCAGCCCTTAGGAAGCTAAGACTGGAGGATGCCTGAGCCTAGCAGTTTGAGACCAGCCTAGACAACATAGTGAGACCTCATCTCTACAAAAAAAAATAAAAAATTATCCAAATGTGATAGTGTACCTGTAGTCTCAGCTATTCAGGAGGCTGAGGTGGAAGGATTGCCTACACCCTGGAAGTAGAGGCTGCAGTGAGCTATGATTGTGCTACTGCCCTCCAACCTTGGCAACAGACTCTGACTCAAAAAGAAAAAAAGACCCAAATGTTAATCTGAGACATTTCATTAATCTTCCCATATGACCTTGGACAGATCACTTAATCTCTCTGAGTCTTGACTAATGTCCAAATGATTGCTCACCCTACAGAATTCTCAGAGTTACTACAGAGGCATAATTGTGACTTGTGAGGATCTGAAAACATTGTTTTCTTTTTTTTTTTTTGGAGCCTCCTGAATAACTGGTACTACAGGTGCCTGCCACCACGTCTGGCTAATTTTTTGATTTTTTTTTTTTTTTAGAAATGAGGTCTCACTATATATTGCGTAGGCTGGTCTTGAACTCTTGGACTCAAGCATTCCTCTTGCCTTGGCCTCTATTAGGTCAGTGAGCTGAGTTGGTGCCACAGGCATGCATAGAGTTGCATAGAAAGTAGAATAGAAAAATTATTTAGAAAGATTAGAAAAGATTATATTCACTTCTTAAGGGAGAAAAGGGAGCCGGGCTCAGTGGCTCAGCCAGTAATCCTATGCTTTGGGAGGCTGAGGTGAGTGGATTATATGCATGAACCACCGTGCCTGGCCTAAAGACATTATTTTAATAAATGTGTGTTTATTTTGATGTGAGGTAGGAAAATAATAACCAGGACATCAAAATTGGTTTCACTGATATTATTACTTAACTCATTTGAGACTGCTGACATGAATTTACGTCATTCCAAATTCTGTTTCTTGTTGCCGCTGATGTGAATTTACCTCATGATGGAAGACTGTCTTTTGGGGTTTATAATCTTAATAAAAATCCAAAGTATGGAATGCTAGTTAAGTGGTATCTGAGGCAAATACTGGATATGTGTGCCACTTTCAGCTGTAATATGAAAAGTGACAATTTAGAAAAGACCAATTTCACTTGTGTTTAATGATGGAAGTGTGTGGCAACCAGCTTCAGATTTTTTTGTTTTCACCTGCTTTCAGTATTAGGAAGGTGAAAATTATGCCAGTCACGGATGTGTTAAGATGTTGATAAATTTAAGTTTAAAAAGTGGATTTTTAGTCGGGCTCAGTGGCTCAGCCTGTAATCCTTTGCCTCTGGGAGGCTGAGGTGAGTGGATTGCCTGAGCCCGCAGGTTCGGGACCTGCCTGGGCAGCAAGACCTCATCTCTACAATAAATCAAAAAATCAGCTGGGCGTGGTAGCGCATGCCTATAATTCTGGCTACTCGGAAGGCTGAAGCAGAAGGGTCGCCGGAGCCCAGCAGGTCGAGACTGCGGTGGCCGGGAACGGCCACTGCACTCCAGTCTGGGTGACAGAGTGAGACTCCAACTCAAAAAAAAAAAAAAAAAAAAAGTGGATTTTTAAAAATTAATAATAGTATAAGTGCTTCAGGAAATGGCAAAAATTATAATTGTATGGCAGTGACTGATGTGTCTATTATACCCATGAGAAACAACCATCTCTGACTGAATTCCTAAACTTTGTGGGAGTTACTGAGGGGATTGGAAATTCTAAGCTTGCTGAGAGAGATGTAATTCAGCTTTGGGGAGGAAAAGGAGTTGGATTTGAGAAGAGGGGAGGTAAAGAATAATGGGACTGGGCTGGGTGACTCAGCCTGTAATCCCAGCACTTTGGGAGGCCGAGGTGAGTGGATTGCCTGCAGGTTCCAGCCCGCCTGGCAACTTGGCAGACCTCGTCTCTACAATGAGTCAAAAACTAGCTGGGCGTGGTAGTGTGTGCCTGTAATTCCAGCTACTTGGAAGGCTGAGGTGGAGGGGTGACCGGAGTCCAGCAGGTCAAGGCTGTGGTGGCCGGGAGTGTGCCACTGCACTCCTGTCTGGGCGACAGAGTGAGACTCCAACTCAAAAAATAAAAAATAAAAAGAATAATGGGACCACAGGGCTCTAGGCACTTTGCTGACTTCTTTATCCCTCACTGTTTCCTTATGGCTTAAGAGGTGGAGGCCCCAGACAGGACTTAACCCGGTGGCCAAGATACCATTAAAATCATATAAAAGTTTTAAGAACGTGTTTATATTCATTTTTCTGGCAGATAATCTTTAGCTTTCATCAACTGTCAAAGGGATCTGTGACACCCTTCACTCACTTAGGTCTCCAAGGTTAAGATCAAATGATCCAGGACTGTGATTTCCAAGCTTTTTGACTGTCTACTTAGTAAAAAAATTGAGCAAAGCCTGTATGCTTTTACTACTTACTGTGTCACTGTCTTAAACACATTCGAAAACACTTCAAAATAGAAATTTAAGATACATTTAAATAGGACTTCTAATATTTTCTTTGCATACCTTGAAGTATCATCTTTGACAGCTTACTTTGGAGATCACCTCAAAGAGACAGAATTGATATTTCTCTTTGTTTATAACATCCCTATCATTGTTTTTAAATCTGTTTCATAGTTATGTATATGTATGTTTATTTATTCTAGTAGCTTTAGGAAAGATACAGTTTTGTTCTTTGTTGTTTTCTCTCTATACCTATTGTACTTAATCAATTATTTAACAAAAATCTATTGATTAATCATACTGATTGGTTCTAGGAAAGCCATAATAACATTTACACAGTAGTTTATACACTGTTGGGAAAATGAACAAATATACAAGCAGTTAACCTTTCAGTGTGGTGGCATTTGTGGGATATGCAGTGGGATTACAGAAGGGAGACTTGACCTCAACTTTGGGATTTAGAAAATGATCTGAAACAGTAGTGGTCTCTTGGTTATGTTCTGAGGAATGAATTGGAGTTAGTCAGGTAGAAGGAATAGTGTTGCAGACAGAGGGAGCAGCATGTGCAAAGAGCATTGAGCAGGAGAACTGAAGAACCTGAGCAAACCTTGGGTGTAGTGGACAAGGACAGGAGATGAAGCTAGATAGGCTTATACGTGTGGTACTTGGAATTTATCTTAATGATATGATATGGAGGGTTCTTGTGTCTTCAGAGTTACCCATCCCTGCCCTTACCCATTAATTTCTTTCTTTCTTTCTTTTTTTTTTTTTGGAGTTGGAGTCTCACTCTGTCGCCCAGACTGGAGTGCCGCTCCCGGCTACCACAGTCTCCACCTGCTGGGCTCCGGTGATCCTTCCGCCTCAGCCTTCCAAGTAACTGGAAATACAGGCTCATTTTGATTTATTGTAGAGATGAGGTCTTGCCAAGTTGCCCAGGAGGGTCTCGAACCCGCGGGCTCAGGCAATCCACTCACA